CCTCTATCTTCCTGAGAACTCCTACCTGTCTTACATACCGGTTTTTTGTTTTCCCCCAGGGTTGGTTAGATTTGGTTTCCAGTTTACTGTCCATTATTTGTGTTCTTGGGTGGGGTCCTCATTTATTTTGTTGGGTGCCAGGTTCTCTCCCTTTAGGTAATGCCTGGGTCAATGTAGGGACTCAAGAAGCATTTATTAGTAGAACAAGTAATAAATGCAGGCTCTTGACAAATGGTAGCAGCAAGAAGATTTATCTCCAGGCACGTGGGCCAATTTGGATCAAATGGCTGTTCCTCACTGTCCACTTGACTGGACTTAGGAGGGGCACTTCTGGGTGTGTCTGTAAGGACATGGTTAGAGAAAATAAACTAAAGAGAACCACTTTGAATAAAGGCAGCACCATCCTGTGAGCTGGGTCCCAGTCAGAATGAAGAGGAGAGAGTGAGCTGAGCACAGCACTCATCTCTCCTTTCCCGATCTTCTCAGACACATCCTGCCATCATTGCCCCCATCCCCTGAACTGTGAGCCAGGACAAGCCTTTTCTTCCAGAAATTGCTTTTGTCGGGGAATTTTTGTCACAGTGACAAGAAAAGTAACTACTAGAGATCACTCTGGAAGAGGCTGTCCCCTTGAGCTGGGAAGGAAGAAGGAGGTCCTCAGCTGCCAAAAAGGAAGGTGTCAGGGAGCGGCTAATCTTGGATGGATTCTGGGGGGACACAGAAGGTAACATTCACTTTCAAGTTGTCGCCCCCACATTTTTAGTAAAGTGTTTTTGGCTCAAGAGCTGTGTGTCTCTTGGGGAATGGAGGAAGGATTGTGTGTTCCTGCTTTGCTTGGGTGCTGAAGAGTCTGTGATCAGCATGGAGAAATGGTTGCAGGAAAACTAGCAGGGCTTTGTGGACAACTAGGATGAGCTTGTGTGTGAACATCTGGCTTTGGGATCCTCAGGGTCACTGTTTCTGGGACAGTAGAAGATAGGGGTTCTTGGACAGCTGAGGAAGTTAGTCACATCAGTTACAAAATTAAACTATTTGGTAACTGCATGTGCAATGTCTGTGTCCTGTGGGGCAGCAGCCTTTCTCTGAACAGTGACTATGCCTGGCTTGCTTACCACTCTGTCTCTGGGTGCCTGGCACTGGGTGGGTGCTCAATAAATATTGGTTGAGTGGATGAATGGTTCTGGATGTTTTCATGTTTCTGGGTTAAAAGTCAGAAGGGTCTGCTGACAGGTGATGAACTAGAAGAAAAGTTCAGGTCTTGGAGATGGTAGAAACTGGGAGTAGAGTGGCTGTATGTGCTTGGATGGACTTGAAGGATGTAGCTCCAGGCACTTAGAACATCAGGCTAGCACCTAGAACATCATCAGGCTAGCACCTAGAACATTATCAAGCTAGCACCTAGAACATCAGGCTAGCACCTAGAACACCATCAGGCTAGCACCCTGCTAAAGACCCACACAGAGAACCATAAAACACAGTGGACTGGACATGCAGAGAGAGGGGCTGTGGTGGACAAAGGCATTCCCTCAAGATGCTTGTTCATCTCTGGGGTACTATGCCCTGCACAATGGACTTAAATAAAATATCCAAGATCCCATTTGCCTGTGTATTGTACTTGGATTGGCACTCACTGGCCAGAGGCCAAGAGGGCCTCACACTTCTGGAGGACATGTTACAATTGGCACCCTGGAGATGGGCAACAGCTGACAGACCTGCTTACCATGGTTCCTGATTCCTCGGGGGAGACATAGAATCCCCAAATCATGAATATGAGTGCATGCCTCCTGAGAACCTATGTTCATTGGTCCATTGTACCCTCCTCCTCTGAAGATCCACCTGCACTCTCTTTTCCTTCAGACCTCTGTCCTCTTACTGTAGCTGAAAGTTTTTCTGTTTCCTGCCTGGCCTGTGGTCAGGACAAATCTCTCTCACCCCCCAGTCCCACAGCCGCTCAGACCCAAATAAATACACACAAGCTAATATTATTTAAAACTGCTCGGCCATTAGCTCAGGCTTACCACTGACTAGCTCCTACACTTAAACTCAGCTCATTTCTGTTCATCTATATGTTGCCACATGTTCTGTGGCTTTACCTGTGTGCCATTACATGCCGTTCCCTGGATGGCGGGCTGGCATCTCCTGACTCAGCCTTCCATTTTCCAGAATTCTCTTTGTCTGTTTATCCCTCCTATACTTCCTGCCTGGCTACTGGCCAATCAGCGTTTTATTTATCAACCAATCAGAGTAACACATTCACAGCATACAGAACATCTCATAGCCCTCTTACCCTGCAGGTTCACCTGTACTCTCTTTTCCTTCAGACCTGTGCCCTCTCCCGCAGACCAGCCTGTTCCCTCCTCCTCTGTAGCTCCACCTGTGCCTTCCTCTCCTGAAGATCCACATCTTTCCTCACTGTCAAGGTCCTAAATGCTGGTCTTCAGTGATTCAACACCTAGACCCCCATCCTGGCCCCAGAAATATTTCAGTTTTTCATGTCACAGTAGCAGCACTCTGAGTCCTGGTCTTCCCTCTTTTGTACCCTAGTGATGTATGTCAGCTCGAGGAAAAAGTTGGTATTTGACTCAGGGTTGCACCAGAACTCCACTGATGAAAGGTCAGCTCATCCAGAACTTTTTTAGATTCCAACTATTGTATAAAATAATTTTTAAAAATTTTAAGATTGTAGTATAATTAACATCATTTCCACCTTCCCTTTCCTCCCTCCAAACCATCCCATGTACCCCACCCCCAGCTCTCTTACAAATTCATAACCTCTTTTTATTTAATTGTTGTTATATATATGTATACATATATATATGTATGCAAGTAGGTTGTGTTTATTTAGTAAAAAACATACATACATACATATACATATGTTACTAAATACATAAACACAACCTGCCCAGTTCACATAATGTTCCCTGCATGCATATTTTCAGGGCTGATTATTTGGAACTGGACAGCCAGTTGGTGCGCTCTTTCCTGGGGAAGACTGTTTCTCCTGCTGTCAGCATTCCGTAGTTACCCGTAGTTCCTTGTCTAGGGCTGAGGACTCATGAGTTTTCTTGTGTCCACATTTGCATGTTTATGGGTGTTACCCTCATTCAGGTCATATTTAGGCAGTCATGTTGGTGAGACTTCATGAGCATAGCTTCTGACATTTCTAGGATACATAATCTTGCAGCAAACTCCCTATTCCTTTGGCACCTACCATCTTTCTGCCCCTTCTTCCACAATGATCCTAAGCCTTAGGCTGAGGGAAATGTTTTCTTTTTAACAGGAGCAGGAGTTCTGAGTGGGACATGGTGAGTGTGTAAATCCATGCTATATATTCCCTTCAAGTAGTATTTTATTATTTTCATTCTTAAGAATCTGTAGTAATTTTGTTTGTTTGAACACCTGCTAATTGAAACATTAAGCTAGCTCCTTGGGGACACATTGACCTTGAGAGGTGTACCTTTTACTCTTAAGACCTACTTAAAAAAAATTAAAGGTTGAGTGATGGTAAGTATTCGAATTTGAGATGTTTACAAATGGACTTACAAACAACAGAACTAGCTTCTGACAGAACTGTATAGGAAACTCTGCTGCCAGAGGTGAGAAGAATGACAGAAAATATCAGAAAAGCCACCACAGATCCAGAAATCAGAGCCTCATCTTGGATTAGCATTTTGTCAAGCTCACAGGAGGTAGAGATGGCTGTGTAGGATGAGTCCAGCCTAAATGTGGTCGCAGATGGCAGGGTTAGAGGGCTTGTGTGAAGGGCTGTGTGACTTAGGCACTGAAAGGTGACTTTCAGGTGGACCTGCGTAACTGGCTGGGGACTTTGTGGACTTGAACCTGGAGATGATGGAGTATATTCAGGACAAAGTCTACACCAAATCCAACTCACTAATGGGGTGCTAGCCAAAACCAACAAGATGAGACAGGAAGAGGCCAAAGTCTGTGCTTACGCATGCATCTGTGCTCACAGGTTTTAAGAGCAGTGCACGTTCAAGATGGTGCAACCTGCCGTGATGGCATTTGACTTGAAACAGACAGCGTTGTTTATGTGCCTGTGAGTACTCCATTGGTGCTGGGACTCCAGTGGGAAAAACCTCCTGTAGCTGGCTGCAGCATGAGGGTGGTCTCCAGGACAAAGCTGGTCAGCACTCTCTTAGGCCACCAATCCACAAGAGGACTCCACTCAGCAAGCCACCCTTCATCCAGGAGCCTGAGCCCCTTCCTGTGGGGGAGTTTTATTCCATGGGCTATTTGTGGGCTATTTTTCTATTTTTTCCTTCCTTCCTTCCTTCCTTCCTTCCTTCCTTCCTTCCTTCCTTCCTTCCCTCCCTCCCTCCCTCCCTCCCTCCCTCCCTCCCTCCCTCCTCCCTCCCTCCCTCCCTCCTTCCTTCCTTTTCTGGATATGGTCTTTCTCTGTAACTCACTAACCTCAAATCACTCTATAGCCCAGGGTGGCTTCAAAGTCATGGCAGCTGTCCTCGCCCCCTCCTGCTCGGTCTTCTAAATGCTGGGGTGGCATGAGCCGTAAACCCTGCTTCCCACAGACAGTTTCCATCTAGGTGATTCTTGGACTCAGGCTCAGTCTCCTCCTATGGTCAGTGCATATCTTCACGGAGAGTTTACTGAACAAACCATCTGAGGTGAAATTTCAGGTGTATGAGGAGAAAGTTTTGATGTATAATGGAGTCACCAGCTTCTCCCAAACTGAGGGGCTTTCTGGGCTATGGAACATTCAGAGTGTCACTCACACTGGGAACAGCAGAATCCTGAAAATTTTCCCTCCGCCAGGGTTTTCCTCTTTATCCTTGGAGAGGTCTCACAGGTAATTCCCTCTGACTGTCATTTGCTGGGGTCTTGTTGTCTATGTTGCTAGGGTTTCCTGGTGGGCCAATGTGATAGGTCCAGCAAATTGAGCTCACTTCCTACAGCCATTTCTCTTCCCTGTTTCTCTGAGATATTACCATCTACACATTATCCTTTGTGGCATTTTCTTTCAGGTGGTACCATCCCTGAGCATGTGGTCCTGGGTTGTATGAGAAGGCCAGTTGAGCAAGCCATGAAGAGCAAGCCAGTCAGCTGCACTCCTCCTCCTAGGCCTCTGCTTCAGTTCCTGCCTCCAGGTTCCTCCCTTAAGTTCCTGTCCTGACTTTCCTCCAAAGATGGACTGTGTTCTGAAAGTGTGAGATGAAATAAGTCCTTTCCTCCCCGCTGCCCCCCAGTGCTTTTGGTCATGGTGTTTATTACAGCAACAGAAACCATACTAAGATACCACCTGTCCTGGTTGGTGCAGCCACAAGACTGTGAAAGTCCCCAGGTGACCATGTGGAGCAAAGCGTCCCTCCCCGACTACCATCTTGCCTGCTACTTTGTGTGAACTGCAAACAAACATAAGATGCTGAGACCCTGTGGGTAACTTACTGCCTTAGCATGTTATAGTCTAGCTCCTCGACTTTGGGCAAGCTGGAGGAGGGTGACAGTGCCTCCCTCAGGATCCAGCCTAGAGGGATGCAGCAATGACCACATGAGGCACTGGGCCTACAACAGCCTGATACACAGCTTGATCCCAGGACCTTCTTTACCAGTGAGTCACACCCTGGGCCATGTTCTCTTCTGATACCCTAGGAAGATGTTTAGTTGTTTCTTCTTGAAGTTCTTAATTGAAGGAATAGAGAGAATTTATAACGTCAGGAAGCATACTGTGCACTCCAGAGGTTGGCGGGATGGGCTTCTCCCTACTTCTGGCTCAACTCTTGGTCTTGCACCTGGTATGGCTCATGATAGAAGGGTCCAGTCCAAAGATGCCACCATGATGTTGAGGCACTTGGGCTCTCTGGCATGTTTAAGCATCCTACTTTGGCAGATGGGACACATTCCACAAGTTGGTGACCAGGTCTGGAATGGCCTGGAAATTGGAACTGGGTGAAGAGCCCCACTATATGTGAGGTTGCTGGGTTCTGCAAATAAAAAGTCGGGAAGCTCAGAATTTCAGAGAAGCAGTGAACACTGTAGTATAAATATGTCACATATGGTGTTTGGAGCTTACTTCTCATGGCCAACACATTCTTTATTTAGCTGAGATTCAGGCATCTGGATTTCCCATGTTTGTTGGCAGTGTGAGTTACAGAGGACCTGTGGTCTCTCACTGGAGATGTCGCCCACACAAAAGATGGATGTGACACCATGGCCATGAGCAAAAATACACACAGACAACTGACCACCACCAGCTGACAGGGGCACGGTTCTCTGAGCAAATGACAGGGAAGTCAGAATCAGGTGGAAGAGTCGCAGGAGAGCGGCAGCTCTGAGTGAAGGCAGTGATTTTACTCCCCCAAATCTAGCAGAAGGGCTGGCTCCCATTGCAGCCTTTGACACCGCAGCAGGTCCTAGGAGTCCTCATTGATCACTCTCATTGGCTCCCGTGTTTACCCAGGAAGTGTGTCAAGGGCTCTGCTGACGTAATGAGTCTGTCTCATCCCCGGAAACAAAACTTAAGGTGGAAGCCCAGATCTTACAAAATCCACAGCAGTCTGGAAAACCCACAGCACAAACTGTGAGCCTGGGGCTCAGCAGAAGGGCTCCACATAAAGCAGCACGTGGGGAGCGGGAGGGGACAGCAGAGGGGACTTGTGACTCTGAACACAAGTCACTCTCCTTCCCCAGATCTGTTTTCTCCAGCGGTGGATTATGCCACTGAAATATGAGAACACAGAGAAATGGAGACGGAAGTCTTAGCGCTGATTTCTCCATTTTCTCTCTGAGTACTTCTTTTGCTTGAGTTGAGTTGATCTTGTATACATTGTCCCTGCCCCAGAAGTTAACAGGACCTCACAAGCAGTCCCTAAAGTTATTAAAACAAACAAACAAACCTAGAAAATAAAACCAGGCAGAGCCTCAGCAGCCCTGGGAATATGGAGGTCCCAGGAAAAGAGAGGTCTCCTCTGCTGCCTCAGACATACTGGAGGGAGGGAGTTCAGGCTCAGACCTTACTACACCCGCTTCCAGTCAGTCTTTCTCTTTTGATTCTGTCTGTATGACCCCTTGAAAATCATAAAACCAAACATCTGTCATGTTCACACTTGTTCCTCTGCCTTCCTTGTTTGTAAATATTCCCATCCCTGGCTCTACCCTTTGCTTAGTCCTGTCTTGGAAGGCCAGAAGCTAAGGCCCTCCACACAACCCTATTCCCATGATGCCTTTTGTGCTGGCCTCTCTGCCCTCTGGTTCAGTTCAGTCTGGAAGGAATCTTGGACCATGCAAAGCAGTTCTGGGGTGAGGGAGAGCAGCCCACGCCAGTCTCTGTTGGCATGTGGTTCAGGTGGGAGAGTTTGTTTTGCTACCTGCAATGATTGCAGGTCAGAGCACAGCATCTAAAGGACGTAGTCATGGCCTGTTCCTCTTCATTTCACAGGGTCTGTGGGGTGGACTCCTCACAATTCTCACTACAGAAGAGGGCTTCTGGGTGAATACCACAGTGCCTGATATCACCCAGCTAGTGAGCGGCCACCCTGGTGGGACATGAACTCTACTTTCTTGTGTCTTCCTCTCTCCTCTAGCCTATCTCTCTACCCTGAGGTTTTAAGCTAGAGTTCTAAACCACCAGTCCTGAGAGAAGAGCTTCCTAGAGTTGAGGGGGCTTCAGTGTTCTCCACCTTTAGCTATAACTCACAGTTCTCTAGAGAGCTGTTAAAACTTTGACAGTTCCAGGGACTAGAAGAATGGTTCACTGCTCTTGCAGAGCACTCAGCTTCATTCCCAGTACCCATGTTGAGCAGCTCATAACTGCCTGTAACTCCGGCTCCAGGAGATCTGACACCCTCTTCTAGACCCCTCAGAGACCTGCACTAATACACGCACACATACCCTCACATACATACACATAATTGAAAGTAAAAATAAATCTAAAAAAAAAAAAAACATTGCTCATCTTCAAACTATTTAATCTTGGAGTGAAGCCTAGGTTGGCCTGTGTGTGATAGTTTCAGTTCTTTAAGTAGCTCTAAGCAGGCAGCTTCAATGAGAACTAGTGGAAATCCAACCCCTTTAGTGACATGATTAAACTAGCTGGCAGAGGGCCTTGGCCAAGGCCTCTCTCTGAGTTGGTGACTGAACCAGTGTCCTTGTGCATGCTAAGCATATGCTCTACCACTGCCCTGTTGTGGGATATTTGTTCACTGTGTGAAGATGTATTGCTAATTGGTGTAATAAAAGCTGAATGGCCAGTAGCTAGACAGGAGAGATAGGCGGTCCTTCCGGGCAGATAGAGATCTCCGGGAAGAAAAAGGGCAGGGTTGCCAACTAAATGCGGAATAAGCAGGATGGGCAATACAGAATAAAAGGTAACTGAGCCACATAAAATAATGTAGACTAAAAGATATGGGTTAATTTAAATTATAAGAACTAGTTAGGAACAAGCCTTAACAAAGGCAGAGCTGTCATAATTAATAATAAGTCTCTGCTCATTATTTGTGGGCTCATGGCCCAAAGAAATCCATCTACATATGGTTGGTGCTCAACATGGGGCTTGAATATCTAAACATAGGGCCTAAGAAAGCTAAAAACAAAACAAACAAAAAAAAACCCCAACCAACCAACCAAACAAACAAAAATGGTCTGGACAAGGAGCCAGATGAGGTTTCCTAGTCCTGTAGACTCTCAAGAGAGCCCATGCTTGGAGTACAGTGGAGCCAGCCACCAGCACCATTCGCTAAAGCTGAGCCATGTGGTGGCTGACATGGCAGGTTAAAATTTGTCTCATGTGGGCAGAGAATGCTAAAGCAGGTACAGTATTTTAAAAAATGTGCTTAAATGCTAAGGAAAGAAAAGAAAATGAGTATAGTCAGTCATACAAAAAGTAATTTAAAAATGATAAAGTAAGGCCTTTAAAGAAAGAATAAAGTAATGTAAAAAAAAAAAGCCATGTAAAGATGGTAAATACACAGGGCATCTGGATCCTGTATGGGGCTTTGTTGACATTGAACTTTTTAAATGACAATGTACAAAAAACAATAGCTGGTGAGAGATACTGGATTTTGGAAACTGCTAGATTAAACCAACCTATATGTTTTAAGAATGTCTTAACGTCAAAATGAAAGTCAGAAAATATGTTATGTTGGGGGAGAAGTTTCCATGGGAAACAAAAAGTTATAGTTCTCTTTAAAATTATTGAAGATCAGATTTGCCCGTGGAGACCTCCTGAGGATCTTGGTTGCAGACGTGAGGGAAAAAGTCAAGAAAGACTACAGGACAGGTGGCGTATATGTGATCCCTCGACATGGGAACAGCTCTGAGACTGCATGAGACATGATGAATCTTCTTGCTACACAGTTCTCATGACTTATTATTACATACCATCCTTTCATATGGATGGATAGAGATTGACATTACAGTTTGGTTATACAGTCCAAATGGACTTATAAAGTTGACAAATGCCTTTTACCTGCTCAAACGTCTAAAAAAAAATCATCTTTAACTGACTTGTACACACCACAATTCAATACTTGTGTTATTACAGATATATATGTTACCTTTAAAAGTTTATGTGTTTTCAGAAAAAAAGACCAGACACCAATAAAGATAAGTAGCCCAGGTGATACAGTCTCTCAGAATGCCTCTGTTGAAATTTCCTCAAAATTCTGCATCCAGAACAACTTCAAATCTGTTAGCTGAGACAGCCCAGCCTCACAGACTATCCAGCCAAGACTTCAGATAAGCTCTACACTTTCCCATCAAACAGACTAAACAAAAAATGATACAGCTAGCTCTCCCAGGACTTGACCATTATCCCAATTTTCTCAGGGTCCCCTAAAGATGCCGGTGCCCCCACACAACAGGAAGCAGTCTAGAGAACAAGATGCCCGCATTTCCAAGAGGCAAGGTGAATGATTTTTGGTCATTTGGTGGGTTATGATGTTTGTCATCATTTAGGGGGGTTGGTTACAAGTTGTTATTGGTCATGGTCAGGGAAAAAGCTCAGCAAAGGAGATTAATTTCAGGGATCTCTTTCTAAAGGAACAAAGGAGGGATATAGTGTAGAAATGATGGGATAAAAGGGTGGGTTGTTGAGTCTACTTTTGAACTAAAAAAGAACTACTTGTCTCAAATATTTTACATTGGTATGGGTTTTTATATATTGATACAAATTTAAGGTTATTTTTGTTATACTGTATGTATGTTTCTACTCTAGTAGAAATGTAATGTAAATTTCTAGTCCTTGAAAGCTATTACTATAAATTATTTAGGATAATTAAGAAATGCAGGTTAGTAGTTAGTCATTTATAACAATCAAACAAACAAATCATGTTAGGTATGATTTCAAGGTCAAACAGAGATATATTTTAAATATATAGATGGTCTTTAAACACTTCAAAGACCTACAGAATATGGCATGTAAGATGTTCTAATAACATAAGGCTTTTCATGACAGTGAGACACGTCTGCTCCTGGCAGCACCAATTTACTTCAAAAAGGGATGATGGCCATCAAAGAATCTCCATATGGAGTTTGTTTTCTATGGAGCAAGCCTACCAATTTTGGACAAAAAAAAACTGCCCTTGCTTCAACTGATGAAAGTATGTTGTCCAAATTGGATAAGCAAGACACAAAAGAAGGTGACTACTGAACTTTGCCAAAACAAGGTAGGACAGTCCTTCAAATTTTCCTGCTTCAAAAAAAGTCTGTCAGATATTCTAGACCTGTAAGCTAAAGATGGATGCCCCAACATTGCAGAAGAACCTTGGGTGACTGACCAGGCAGCCAGATGTCTCTGTCATTTCTATAGTTTTGGAAGTTGCTTGCTCTGCACTTCCTGTTTATTCAGGTAATATTATATCCTTCTCAGGTCTTTGATGGGGTTAAAGACTAGATAGTTATTGTTAAAGTTTTCCTTTGTTAGCAAATTCAGAAAAGAAACTGACAAAAGAGGTATGAAATAAATAGGATTGAGAGAATTAAAAGCTTTAAGTTGTTTATCTAAGAAAAGGTTTTGAAGTCTAAAAAGATAGTTTTAGGCTGGTAAAACAAGTTAGGATAAAAAATAAAATAGGGCCGGGCGGTGGTGGCGCACGCCTTTAATCCCAGCACTCGGGAGGCAGAGCCAGGCGGATCTCTGTGAGTTCGAGGCCAGCCTGGACTACCAAGTGAGTTCCAGGAAAGGCGCAAAGCTACACAGAGAAACCCTGTCTCGAAAAACCAAAAAAAAAAAAAAAAATAAAATAAAATAAAATAGGTACAAAACTTTGACTCACCAAGATAGGCTAGATAATGGAATGTTTTCTCTGAATTTGCCAAATACAGATAGACTGGACATCATAAATGTAATTCTTCCCTGATAATTGTTATTATTGTATATAGTTTTACTGTATTAGAGTTAAAACCTTTCATTTTTATTTAGACAAAAAGGGGGAAATGTGGGATATTTATACACTGTATGAAGATATATTGCTGTGATTGGTGTAATAAAAAGCTGAATGTCCAATAGCTAGATAGGAAAGATAGGTGGGACTTCTGTGCAAAGAGAGATCTCTAGGAAGAAAAAAGGCAGGGTCATCAGCCAGACCCAGAAGCAGCAGCATGGGCAGTATAGAGTAAAGGTAACAAAGCCATGTAAAAAATGTAGATGAAAAGACATGGGTTAATTTAAGTTACAAGAACTAATTAGGAACAAGTCTAAGCTGTAGCTGAAGTTTTCTTCAGTCCTGTCCAGCACCATGGACCCCACAACCGCTCATAAAATAATCACTCAGAAGTTTATATTAATTAAACTGCTCGGCCATTAGCTCAGGCCTACCACTGACTAGCTCTTACACTTAAACTCAGCCCATTTCTGTTAATCTATATGTCGCCACATGTTCCATGACTTTACCTGTGTGTCATTACGTGCTGCTCCCTAGACGGCAGGCTGGTGTCTCCTGACTCAGCCTTCCTGTTCCCTGAATTCTCTTCTCTGCTCGTCCCACCTATACTTCCTGCCTGGCTACTGGCCAATCAGCATTTTATTTATACAGAGCGATATCCACAGCACTTCCCCTTTGCTTTATTTTTTTTTTAAAGGAAGGTTTTAACTTTAACATAGTAAAGTGTGGTGATATTTTAATTGTGCTGAAATGTGATTTTATTTGTATGTTAATAAATAAAGTTTGCCTGGAGATCAGAGGTCATAGTGAGCCAGGGACTGCAGTCAGGCGGTGGTAACCCACAACCTTAATCTGATCACATGACAGGCAGAGTCTCTGTGTGGTCAAGGACACAGCCAAGTGTGGTGACACGAACCTTTAATCCCAGTACCAACCATAGAGACTAGGAGGTCTGTATAGACAGGCAGTGGTGAGGAAGTCATGTGGCTGGGCTTAGAGCCAATGAGAATTCAGAACAGGAAAGCAATAAAGACACCAGTCAGACATTAGGTCTCTCTCTTGGGGGAAGCTACTGCTGGTGGTAAGCTAAAGCTGGTTGGCTCTTGCTCTGATCTCTTTGACTTTAACTCTGTATTTGGCTCTGTGTTTCTTATTTAATAAGACTGTTTAGAAATTCGTCTACACTAAGCTGAGGCTGAACTTTCATAATAATAAGTCTCTGTCATTATTTGTGAGCTGGCGGCCCGAAGAAAAATCCATCTACACTGCCCTACAGTCTAGCTCCAAGCTTTCCCATGTTTAAGTAGCAGGGCAGGAACTAGGTCAAATCTATATACAGGCCTGTGTGCAGCGCAGGCTGCAGGAGGTGCTGATTAAGTGCTGCCCCAGGCAGAACAGGCATACCCGGCTCCCTGCTCCCCAGAAACAGGGTGTTTTCCATACTCAGCCCTCACTGCTAGATTGAACATTAGGAGCGTACGCTTGTCTCTAGTAGTCTTTTGCAGATCATGTATAGACTTAAAGTCCTGGAGCAGTCTCCAAAGCATGGGGAGCATCTCTTTATATGCCTGTGTCCTATCTTATGCTTCACCATGCTGTCCCTTCCACAGCTACACCAAATGGCTGCCCTTTCAGAAAGGTATCCAGCTCTCCACTGGTGGGGCTGGGCCAGGTCCAGACACAGTCTAGTTCCTCTGGAATCCAGCTAGCTAAGGGCTATCATGTGCCACCTCACTTCCCCCTGACTTTCACCCCAGGCTTCAGGTTGCCTTGGACTGAACCTATCACAGTAGTGAGCCATTTGGGAAATATTTTAATACACACACACACACACACACACACACACACACACACACACACACACACACAGAGAGACAGAGACAGACAGAGACAGAGACAGAGAGACAGAGAGAGACAGGAGGCAGAGAGAGAGAGAGAGAGAGAGAGAGAGAGAGAGAGAGAGAGAGAGAGAGAGAGAGAGAGCCCAGACAAGGTCCAGAGAGTGGCCCAGGAGCCCGACATCAAGGCAGCCATCCTCTGCCTCTTCTGTTCTTTGGGGTGGGAGGGGATAGTCTCTCCTCATATCCAGATGGGCCTTGTCAGTGTGATGCCTGCCTAGTCACCTGCTTTATTTCCTCCCTCACATACTCCTGACCTCATGAGCTCCCAGCTGGTGCAGGGACCACAAGGCAGGTATGTGCTGGTCCTCTGGAAAGGGCTTCTGGTACAGCACCTTGGCACTCATGTGAGGAGCTATCAGTCAGGAAACCCGATGGCATCTTTTTTTAATGTGTCCACAGCAGCGTCACCCAGGGGCCACAACCAACATGAGTGCTCCAAGGTTGGAACAAGGCACAGGAGGAGGCGTGTGTGTGTGTGTGTGTGTGTGTGTGTGTGTGTGTGTGTGTATATTTCTATGTGTGTGTGTGTGTCTGTACGTGTGTGTATTTCTATGTGTGTGTGTGTCTGTGTGTGTGTCTGTATGTGTGTGTATTTCTATGTGTCTGTGTGTATTTCTATGTGTATGTGTGTGTGTGTGTGTGTGTATGTGTGTGTGTGTATGTGTGTTTTATGAATGACAATCTTGCTTTGTTGTTGTTATTTGAGACAGGGTATCTCTGTGTAGCCCTTGCTTTATAGACCAGTCTGGCCTCAAACTCATAGAGATCCTCCGCCTCTGCCTCACCAGTGCTGGGATTAAAGGTGTGCGCCACCATTCACCTTGGTTTTTGAAGTAGGGTCTTTCACTGAACCTGGAACTCTCTGATTCTGGGGCCTGGTCAGCAAGCCCCAAGGTTACACCTCTTTCTATCTTTTCAGAAATGGGATTACCAGTGCATGCTACCGCGCCTGACATTTTTATTTATTTTATTTATTTAGTTTTTTTTATTTGAGCATGCGTTCTTGGGGTCCAGCACAGGCTTCCATCCTTGCACAGCAAGCAGTTTTCTGTCCGAGCCATCCCCCCAGCTCCTAAAGATGATTTTGAGCTACTGGATCTTGACTAGTAAACCTGAAGACCAGAGAATCAGCAAGAATGGCGGGAGGATTTTCAGGCCACATGGCATGTCTGTGACCTTTGGTAATGGTTAAGAATGTGGGTACCTAAACAAACAATAAAGGCTCCAGTCACTGCCCACCAGCTGGGACCCAGTTATTGAAAATGGGCCTCATTTTCTTTATTTGGGAAGTAAGGCCAGCCAAGTGCCCCCCACATTCTGTGGTAGGTGTTGAATGGGTTAATGCATGGAAAGGTTTTACAGAGCCACAGGCCCTCTGGAGGCATACAGGAAGTGCTAACTATGGTTATTTTAGACTGATTTCTCCAACACTTGAGGACCTAGCTAGTAGTATGCATGGCTGTCCTCCAGGCAGACAGTCAGTGTAGGTAGATAAGGGTGCAGGAGAAGGGAGGCTGTGGAGCAGTCAGTCAGTGACAGGCAGCTTCAGAGTCCTGTCCTGTTACTGTCGGCCCCTACCGGAGACTGTTTCTCACCTGTGCTTCAGCAGCTTACCAGGACTACTCTCTCTCTCTCTCTCTCTCTCTCTCTCTGGATAACTGGTGTGCAGGGCCACGCTATGTTTAGTCACATTGTAAATTCTCAGAGCCATTGCTGGAGCCCATCCTGCTTCACAGACAAGGACTCAGCCATTACTCATTATACTCTGGTGGTGCCCAGACTTAGTCACCAGCTGCCCTGTGCTCTGACACCCAAGTGTCAGATCCGGAATCATACAATTTAGTCTTCTTCTAATCTTTCCCTCCCTTTCTTCCTTCTCTAGTGATTGCTCATGGAGCAGGTCCTTCCTCGATACCTTCATGGTTTGAGCCCAACAGATGGATAACGGGAACATTGACTTCCAGTGTTACTGATCTACTCATCAGAATCATTGCCAAGGGTGCCTGATGAGAGTAGGCACATGAGATGACACCCTTATCATTATAGTGTCATTTTGTCAATCTGGAGTAGGTGTTCCAAAAGAGAGCCCCCACTGCCGCCTGCAATGCACAACACTCATGGTGAGTGACCCATTCTGGTGACCACAAGCCTGGCACCATAGCCTCTGAGTATGCAGTGATGAAAAACAGACCCGGGAGACTCAGGAACCTGAATGAATTATTTTAATGTCAACAGGAATCTGTTCTACCAATATCAAGCTCCTTCCTACAAGGTTCCAGGTGCTTGAGAAAAATAATGAACAAAGTAGACAGGAATCTGTGTCCCCTCAAACACAGTGCCCTAGTAGTAGACACAAAACAAATATGACCACTGAGGAAATCTGGGGTGTGAGGCTGTAGCTCAGTTGGCAGAATGCTTGCCTAGTATGTGTGAAACTCTGGACTTGATCCCAGCACCATATAAACCAGGAATGTTCCACATGTCTGAAATCCCAGCACATGGGAGGTGGAGCAGGAAGCCCAGAAGTTAAAGGTCATTCTCAGCTATAAATCAAGTTCAAGGCCAGCTGAGGCTACACGAGACCTTGAGTAAATTAGGTAGTTGGTCAGAAGGTGGTGTTGATAAAAAAAAAAAAAGTTTTAAAAAAGAAAAGTTAAAAACCCTGCTAACAGCACAGGGCAGGTGAGGTTGGGAGCAGACCCAGGATAGGAAAGATGGTTGTAATTTTAAACATGGTGGTCAGAGTAAGCCTTGCTCAGGAGTTGGGATTGGAAGAAAGGCTTGAAAGCATTGAGAGACACTATTGCAGATGTCCAAGGCACAACTCTCCCAAGCAGCTGGAGCAGCTGGGGAAAGGGTTACATGTCAGAAGTAGACTTGGAACCCTGGAGACCTAGCCAGGAGGTGTACTACTGATGTGAGGGCAGGGAGGGAGGGAGCAGAAATGGAGAGTCAGTTTCGGGTAGTTCTGACCACAGAGGGCTTCACAGACTGCCTGAGCGTTGGCTTTGGCCCTGAGAGGTAGGGAGCCAGGCAGGATTCTGCTCAGATCCCAGACCCCCTGCGCTTGGCTTTGACTGTGGATCAGGCTGGAGACTGGTGCAGTATGGGACAGAGTGGCTCAGCCCGGAGGACAGTGGGAGCCGGGGGTGTTTTGGTTACTTTGGACACTGAACCAGCAGAATTTGTGATTGGCAGTTGCTGGTATGGATACAAAAATAAATAAAGAAATAAAAACCCAACCCAGATAACTTCACTAGCTTGAGCAAAAGTTCTAATAGCTCAGGTTTTAGGGTAGACAATTACTCTGAAGCCGGGGCTGACTGGCAGGGTCAGAGCAAAGCAGGTAGAGGGGAGCTGAGGTGCTCAGGTCACACCCTGGCTGCCCTCATGGAGCTGTGGACTCTGTTTTACACTATTAATTAATCTTTGGATACACTGGGCTCTGATGTTCTAAAGTCTGTGCCAGGTGACCTGGACTTCTGGGGGCATTTTGGAATGATTGGTGTCCTTGAAGACTTGGGCTACTCTCAGGGGGCTGCATAAATGTCCTGGAACATTGCTGCGTGGGAGGCCTCTGCAGAGCAGCTGATGTTTGCCTCCTGTGAAGACCTGCCCCAGCTTGCAAAGGCTGAGACACCAAATGCTTATTTACCTGGGCTTCTAGGCTCAGAAAGGTGGAGGGGGGGGAGCAATTTAAGGGGCCCACTCACAGTGAGGCCCATCCCACTTCCCTTCCTCTGGGATTGGGGCTTCCACACCTAAGCTTTTCAGCAGGCTGAGCTAATTATTATTGAGCTCTTTGTCACATCCTCTGGTGAAGGGGGAATTTCTGGAAGTCCGGATTGGGGCGTGGAAACAGACCAAGTAGTAGAAGTTCGTTCTCAAAACTCAGGCTATCAGATGTGATCCTTCTCTGCCAGAACTGATAGGGGCTCTGTGCCCCACAGGGACTGATGAAGGGAAGCTGTGTGCACTGACCCCACTTGCAGAGTTACCTCAGACTCCATCGGCATGCTGCCTGTCCATTTGCTAGCTGCAGGAGTCCTCTGCTTGAGCTTGAGCTAAACTTGAAGCTTGGGGTGAGACGCGTCCAGTTTACTCCGCAGAACAGTCTGCCTGTCCCTTAAGGATCTTGGGCATATCCCTCTGGTGTAGAGGAAGTCTTGGCACACTGGAATAGGGAGTCACAGAGTCCTGCTAGGGCTGGAGATGTAGCTCAGTCAGTGGTAGGGTGCTGGTTCAGCAGGCATGAAGCCCTGAGTTCCATGACCCGCATGGTGTAGACTGGGCATGGTGGTGCACACCTGTAATCCCTGCACTCGGGAGGTGGAGGCAGGAGGATCAGAAAATCAAGGCCATGGCTGGCTTTTTAATGGCTTGGAGGCCAGCCTAGGGTATAAGAAACACTGTCTTAAAAACAAAACAAGTCTCCTTCAAATTGTGACTTTGAGGCCAGTGTTCCAAAATAATGTCAATGTCTTCCTGGACAGGACAGGGACTGTGACCTTCCAGGTCTGCTGAGATGCCCTCTGACCCAACCTGGAAGGGGAAGTGTCCTTGACCAGCCTTTCCTCCTGGTCCTGTTTCTTCACTTACAGTGGCTGGAGCCCATGAGGCCCCACAAAAGGACTGTGTTCCCAGACCTGGTGGGTGCCATGAGAAGTCTGCGTTGGTTTTACCAGCCCAGCTATGCCTTAGCTTTCTCCCATCTGTGGTCAGGTCTGTTTTCTGGCCTTGCAGGCTGGCATTCCTGCCCAGGAGGGTGGGGCTCAGGAGCAGCTGGGACAGTGACTCACAGGCAGTTAGTTACCTGTCCCGGGGCTCTTTGCCAGCCCCGCCAAGGGAGCTTGAGGCTCTGGGTGCAGGCTCCTCTGTTCAACTTCCGTGGGAGAACTGAGCTTTGACCACTTCCTGAGCCTTTTAAGGACCCCCTCGCCCCCAAATTCCCCGGTAGGGATTTTCCACATTTTTCCCTCAGGATGAGCCTGGTGCTTTCCAGGGTTCTGAATATTTGGGTCTTACACTGTCCAACCCAGTGACATGTCCCAAACCCTAACACAGTCCTCACAATCTGATGTGTGTCCCCAGCTTTGTTGGTCTTCCAGGGTGGACTGGAACTTAAGAGGAAGCGGATACCTACTAGACTTGGGAAGGTGCCAGATCTAGTACCTGGGCTCTTCCCTGCCCCAGAAACACCCCCCCCCACCTCTAAAGACCTTGCTGCTGCCTATTTCCAGAACGTTCCAGCCCTCCAGACACCCAAGAGCAGGCAGCCTCCAAGACCAACCCACTTGCCTAGTCCTGTCTTGAGGGGGGGGGGGGGCAGTGACGTCAGATGGGCGTGGCGACTGCCAGATTCCTGAGGCCGCCCTGGACTGGGGCTACACCCAGCCAGGGAGTCTCCAGAGGTGAAGCTGCTGTTTAAAACCTTGGAGCCAAGAGAGGGGCCCCCCACATTCCCAGGGAGCTCTCCGAGAGGGATCTGGAGAAAGGCAGGGAGCATAGGAGCGCAGGGTGAGGTAGGTTATCTGCCTTACCTGTCCTGTGGAGGAGGATGGAGAAGGACTGTGTCTCGGGGTCTGAGGCCTGGGTGCAGGGCCCATGCAGCACTCTTCTTGGGAGCACACCTGAGTACACTTGGGTAAATGTCTGTGGTTGTTTGAATTGCTTTTTACGTCTGATAAGACTTAGAAGGAAGCAGCTAAAACCCGGCTTAACACAAAGGCAAGGTAGGAGGAATGGTCGGGCTCAACTCAGCCTCACTCTTGGCGGGTTTTCAGGAGTGCAGAGATGCTTTCTGGCCTTGATACTTGAGGCCACATACTTCAGCTTGGGCTGCTGACTGCCCTGGAGGAGGTAAAGGAAGGACCACGCAGCACTGGGATGGAAAGATGGCAGAAAGGCTGCCTGTCTCCCTTCGGCCTGCCCACAACCCCCGTTTCCTCTCAGCTGCTTTGGGCAGACCTTGTGGGCTATCTCAGGTGGAGCGAGAGCGGTGCATGCTGCGAGGAGAGCCTGCCTCCCGCGCTGTTTCCAGCTGCCTCCCGCATCGCTGCCCACAACTGGAGACGTTTTGAGCTGCTTTTGGTGCAGATAAGGCCTTCTCTCACTTTTTCTTAAAATTACCAGACCTGCCTCTTCACACAGCACCGCACCTGCCTTCTTAAGATCCCGTCTCCTTATAGCGTTCCTGCAACCTGGTTAGCCCAGAGGTGTGGTCATCACAGCTTCTGCCTCACTGTGGCCCTGTAATACTGGAGACCCTGTTTGCTCAGGAAAAGACCTGCCCCATGGCCCTCAGCACCTTTGGCCTATGGGCCTTTGGCTTATAGGTTGGCTTGGGTTGCAGCCCTGCGAAAGCCCAAGTCCTCTTTCTTGAGGCAGAAACAAAGCCTTGGGCCTCCCTTTACCTGTCCGCAGCAACGGGCCCTGCACTCCCTCCTCCTGCACAGTCCCCATGTTCCCGCCCACTTCAGAGGAGGAAGCTGTATGTCACTGCTACCTGGGACAGGGGTCCCAGGTTCCTGCCATTGGCTACAAGTGTGCCTACTGCTCAGAGTGTCTTTGTGAGGATGTGAGATGAGGACTGGGTGAGGACAGTGGTCTAGCACAAAGCAGGGACCGGGTCGGTGGGGAGCTGACTACCCAGGATGTTTTGTCTTGTTCTAGGTGACCTCTCTGAGGACCTGCGCTGGCCCATGATGACAGCACTTTTACTGCTGTGCTTTGGTAAGTATCCCTTCCCCTCCTCCAGGCCACCAGCAGAAGAGAGCTGGCCAAAGGAATGAGTACTGTCTAATGGGACAACTGTGGGTGCCCCCACCTCTCTGTGCTTCAGGGAGAAGAGGCTTCTCTGCCTCTCTCAGAAGGCTCCCCGTGTCTTCTTGTCTTCACCCAAGGGTGACGTGTGGTTTCCTGAGTGCTTTCCACTACGTATTCCTCATCCTCTCCACTTCAAGCTGGCCACAGCGCCACTATGGCGCGAGTTCTCTGTTTTCTGGGGAGTCATGGCTGCTTGCGTTCAGGTAACAGCCATGCTGGTCACCTGTGCAGGCAGAATAGAAATAACAGGTGCTTTGTCAGTGTTCCACCAGGTGGTTCAGCCAACAGCTGCCTCTGGGCTGTGGACTGATGACACTGGATAGGCACGAACATCGGTCACAGTGTTGACTCTAAAGCCACATGTAGATGGCATGCGTCACATGTTAGGATCACTGCTAGTTACCAGTTGCTGACATTTCTCCCCCTCTTTTTTTCTTTTCTTTAACTAAAAAAGTAGTTTGACAATCTCATACATGTATATGGCCTCATGTAACCCAGTCTGGGCTTGAATTCCTTATGTAGCTGAGGATAACTTTGAACTCTTGATTTTGCTGGCTCCTGAATTCTGGGATTATAGGTGTGGACCACCATGCCTGGTTTATGTAGTACTGGGGACTGAACCCAGGACTTCATACATGCTAGGCAAACACTCTATTAACTGTGTTACAACCTCCTCTCCTTTCCAAGTTTGGGTTATGAGATATGAAATCAGCCCCTTAACTCCCTGAGTCAGGACTGTAGTCATCATACTGGCACCAGTGCAGAGTGGGCCTAGTTTTGCTGATGTCAGCTCCACAGAGGGAATACTGGGGTACTACCAGGTGGGATCTCATGCTTTGGGCCAACTCCAACATTACCCTGTGATTTCAGCCTTGCCTGGCCTCCTGGGTGCCCAACAAACCTGCTCCCGAGGGGCATGTTATCCACCTGTTGGAGACTTGCTCATCGGAAGGACTCAGCTTCTTCAAGCCTCGTCTACCTGTGGACTGACCAAGCCAGAGACCTATTGCACCCAGTATGGAGAGGTAGGTCCTCCTTCCTATGCCTCCAGGACAGGAGGAAGATGGGACAGAATGGGGCCACTGGATAAAGTGTAGGAGGCACAGCACAGGCCAAGGGCCATGCCCTGGGAGAGGGCAGAAGGGTATAAGTCCAGATCCCTGCTTCCAAGGAGTTTAGAAGTAGGAAGAATTAACAGGACTTCTCTTAATACACTAGGAATTGTATTAGAGGGTAGCAGCATTAGGAAGGTTGAGAACCAATGATATAAGAGCAGTAGTAGCTAGCTGAGTGCTAAGCAAGCCACCAGGCAGCATAGGTGTAGCATGAATCTTAACAGGTCTTATTAATAAAAACAAATCTGGGCTGGGTATTGGAGTGAACTCTGGAAGATCAAAGAGACAGAACAGGCCACAGCCACCTCACCTTGCCAATTCCTCAGCTGATCCTGTTTCCTCAGACTGGAAACTTCCGAGTCCTCATCCAAATGGGTCTCAGCTGAACTGCTGCTCAAAAGACTAAAGGCTTAACCAGCCTGAAAGTTTCTAGTTTCTGGTCCTCACGCCTCATATATCTTTCTGCTTTCTGCCATCACTTCCTGGGATTAAAGGCGTATGAGTCACCATGCCTAGCTGTTCCCAGTGTGGCCTTGAACTCAGAGATCCAGGTGGATCTCTGCCTCTGGAATGCTAGGATTAAAGGCCTGTGTGCCACCATTTTCTAGCCTCTGTATCTAGTGGCTGTCTGTTCTCTGACCCCAGATAAGTTTATTAGGGTGCACAATATTTTGGGGAACACAATACCACCACACATAGGTGCTTTCATTGCTCTCAGCTCTTGACTATGGGTGTCATGTGATTAGTTGCATGAGTTTCTGCCTTGACTTGCCTGAAATGATGGATGGTAACCTGCAATTGAAAGCCAAAGAAACCCTTTTGTCTCTTACAATGCTGTTTGCCAGGTGTTTTTTTTTTTTTTTTTTTTTTTTTTTTTTTTTTTAATCACAGCAACACAAATGAATGCAGGACACAGGAATGCGTGACATACTTTGATCTCATTCACTCTCTCTAGCAATCTTTCTTTTGTATTTTTATTTTTTAACATTTCATACAGGTATATACTGCATCTTGAGTGTATTCCCTGCTGCCCCTTCCTTCCACACTCTCTTTTTCTTGGCCCTTCTCCCTCACATTTCCCCCCATTCTTCCCCTAGACAATTTCACTTCTATCATCATTTAATATATACACACGTGGTTGTATATAAAATCTAGGAACCAAAAATGTGAGGAAACATCTGATATTGTTCCTTCCAAGACTGGCTTAGTTCACTTAATATATTATCTCCAGTTGCATCCATTTCCCTCACATGATATGATTTTATTCTTTTTATGGCTAAAAAAAGGCACATTTTCCTTATGCATCTCCCTGTTGCTGGACACCCAGGTTGGATCCACAATTTAGCTATTGTGAATAGTAAACTCTTATGGGAAGGTGTCTCTGTGATGGGTTGATTTAGTGTCCTTTGGACAAATACCCAGGAATAGTGTGGCTGAGTCACATGGAAGGTCTACTGTTAGGTTTTTGAGAAACCCCCATACTGACTTGTGACTAGTTTTCATTCCTACTGGCAGTGTGCTAAGGGCTCTGTTTTGTTCATAGCCTCACCAGCATTGTTGCTGGAATTCATTTCTTTGAGAATTTCATACAATATACTTTGATCATATTCTTTAACCTCAAAATCCAAACTCTTTCCCTACCTACCCAACTTGACTTTTTTTTATCTCTTTAGAAAAACTAAAACCTAAACAAAACAGAATGAAAAGCACACAATCCATAGAGTTAGATTTGGGCTGACTAATTACTTCCAAGTGTGAGGTGTGCCCTGCAGTTTGGTTGATATACCCAGTGTCATGCTGTTGAAGAAAACTGATTTTTCCTCTTCCAGCAGCTATCAATTGCAAATAGCTTCTTGGTTAGGGTGAGACTTTGCATTTCCTCTTCTCCACACTGGAATTTTCTCTATCTTGAACTTGTTTGCATGCTGTCATAGTCTCTGTGAGTTCATATATGCCTGTTGTATCTAGAAAATGCCATTTCCTTGAAGTTCTTCACCACCTCTGGCTCTTACAATTCTTCTGCCTCCTCTTCCACATAGAGGAGCCTTGAGGGGAATGGTGTGATAGAGGCATCTCACTCAAGGCTAAGCACTCCAAAGTTGCTTACTCTCTGCATATTGTCCAGTTATGGGTCTCTCTATATTAATTATCATCAACTGCAGGAGGAAGCTCCTCTGGTAAGGGTGGAGTTATGCACTGATCTGTATGTCATTTTACTGCTATTTCCTTTAGAGAATAACAGTTTCCTTTAAGGCCCATGACCTATCTAGTCTCAGGTTCTTAGCCACATTAGTAGTGTCATGTATGGGCTCTATCTCATGGAGTGGGCCTTAAATCAAATAAAAAAGTGGTTTGTTACTCTCATAATAATATGCCCCTATTATATTGATGAGCATATATTGCAGTCAGGTCTCTTATAGCTTGCAAGGTTTGCAGCTGAGTGAGATTGTTACTTTTCTCCTCTGGTAATGTATATAGTACATCCAGAACTATCCGTATCAGTAGGGATGAAGCATCCAGTTGAGGACTGGCTCAATTCCTCCATGTTTGATGACATAAATATGTGTATCTTCAGCAGTAGGGTCTTACTGTCAGGTTGTGAGGGGTAGCCAAGAGCATTATCAGTAGACTGTAACATTTGAGGGACATTCTATAGGACCCTTTGGGCCAACAACTCAAAAAGATGTAACCCATTCCTGTGCTGAGGGTTTTATTTGGTAGCATATGATGTATAGAAAGGATGCTACATCCTACTACAGAGATACTTACTCATCCATGTTCATTGCTGCTCTATTCATAAGAGCCAGAATTGGAAGCAACCTAGTTTCCATCGAATGATGAATGGATAGTGGAAATGTGCATTTGCACAATGAAATATTATTCACCTGTTAAGAAAAATGAAACTTGAATGTAAATAGATGGAGCTAGAAGCAGTCATTCTGAATGAGGTAATCCCAACGCAGAAAGGCAAACATTGCATGTTATCTCTTATATGTGGATACTAGCTTTTAAGCTTGAAACATGTGTGTTTAATTTAGAATATCCACAGAGATTAGGTCGGTAACAAGAGACTGGGGCAGGGTTGGAGAGAATCCTTCCAAGGAAGAGAAATAGAATCCAATGCTATAAAGAGATAAAGAGGAAACTAGAACAGGAAGATTATATGAGAGGGGATGGAGGGCAGGGTAAAGGAGGAAATAGGGGGAGTGAGAGTGAAATTAAGGACCTTTTGAGAAGCCACATGGAAACCTACAGCTGTAGAAGCTTCCTCAAGTACATACATATAAACAGGAGTTTAATGAGTTATCTATAATGGAGTAGACAGCACCCCAGCTAGACACCTTATATTTTTGTCTTCTTAGTGGCCACCGTTGTCCCGGGGCAGATGTCTTTGGAAGGTGTCTTTGATTTGCATGTCTCTGATGGCTAATGAGACTGAGTACCTTTTTGTGTTCGTTTGCTATTTATATCCTAACCGTTGAGAAAGGTCTATTTTATCAGCCAATTTAATGCTATTAATGTTTGAATTTTTGTTGTCTAGTTGAGTTCTCAGTATATTCTAGATATTAACCTCTGTTGGGTGTGTAGCTAGCAATGAATTTTGCCTCTGCAGTCTGCCTCTTCACATAACCATTTCCTTTGCTGTGCAGCTTTTTAATTCCATAAGGTCTTATTTCTTGATTGTTGGACATAATTCTTTAGCAACTGGGGCCCTATTCAGGGAGTCCTTGCTTGTGCCCTCACCTTCAAGTTTTTCCTTAAGTTCCAGGTCTTATATCAAAGTCTTTGATCCACATGAAACTGATTTTTGTTATGGGTAAGAGATGGGGACCTAGATTCATTCTTATACAGGTGGACAGTCAGTTTTCTGAGCTCCATTTGCTGACGAGGCAGTCTTCTCCAATGTGTATTTTTGGCAGAGTTCTCAAAAGTCAGGTGACTGTAGCTGTGAGGGTTTATAGCTGGATATTGTGCTCCATTGATCTCTGTGTCTGTTTTTATACCAATGCCGTGCTGTTTTTGTTACTGCATCTCTGTAATATAACTTGGGGTCAGGAATGGTGCTACCTTCAGTGATACTCTTTGTACAGGAGTGCTTTGGCTTGCTGAGGTCTTTTGTACTTCCACGTTCATTTAATGTTGATTTTTTTCTATTTCCATGAGAAGAAGCATTAGAGGTTTGATGAGGACTGCATTGAATCTGTAGATTGTTTTTGGCAAGATAGCCATTCTCACAGTGTTAATTCTTCTGATCCATGACAATGAGAGGTCAGTATGAAGTTTTCATTGTACAAGCTTTTTGCTTCCTGGGTTAGATTTATTGTAAGTTTTTTTTTTAAGCAGTTGGCCTTTTTAAGGGCTGTGGTATTCTCCCACAATGCCTCTGAACCTTTTTTTAAGGAGCTTTTGATTTTTTCTTTCCCCTCAACAAGTTGGTGTTTTTTTTGGTTTTTTTTTTTTTTTTTTGCTCCTTGTGTTTATATGTGTTTAAATCTTTAAATCTTTGTGTCTCCTTGTCTCCCAGTTTTCTGACTGGCCTGTTTTGTTTTGTGGTGTCAAAGATTGAATCCCATACAAGTTAAGCAAGCACTCTTCTACTGAGGTACATTCTGAGCTCTACTTTAACTCTTTGTGGGTTTTTTTGTTTGTTTGTTTTTTGTTTTTTTGAGACCAGGTCTCACTATGTAACTCTGACTGTCTTGGAACTCACTATATAGACCAGGCTGGCCTTAAACTCACAGAGATTGCCTGCTTCTGCTTCCCAAGTGTTGGGATTAAAGGCGTGTGCCATCACACATAGCTTTACTTTAACCTTTATATCAAGACTGAGTCTTCCTAAATTGTCCATATTGCCCTTGAACATGCAATGCTCTGGTCTCAGCCTCCTAAGTAGCTGGGGTCATTAGCCA